ATCTTCAAGACAGTACGCACCAGCAGTACCTTGAACTTCAGCACACGTATAGAGTACGCAGAATTAGAAATCCAGGCGATGTTTGAGGACACAAATGCTAGGGAAGGACCAATTTAGTCGAGGTAAACAAAGACGAGGGCACAAGTGCTTCTGATATCTTGAGGGTACCGCCACAACATCGCCGCACGAGTAGATAAGTCTTCTAGGACGTGCTGTTTTACAATCGTGACACATGAAAAGAGCTCACAGTCAAAAATAGCCCTCTACATCTAATGATGAACTTCCCCTACGCCGACCACGTCGACGATCACTAAATGTTGATCCTCTGAGATGTGCATTCAGCAAGTGCGACTCTGTGGAGTTCCTGAGATATGCCGGGCGGCCCACCTCCGACATACCCTGCACGGAGAGGGGGCAGACGCGGACCGCATTGCCCGCATAAACCATCTCAGGGACCGTGACCTGGAGCGCGCCATACCGCTCATCCAGCACCGCCGTCCACATCACCTGCGACGACAACCCCCTCTCATCGACGACAGCGACGATACGGTCATTGACATGCCGGACGCTTGCGGGGATGGGGGGACAAGGGTCCGCCACCGTGCCTAGGGGCCGTTCCCGACCACCCAAAATGGACACCAAGTCCGAAGCGTGCAAGAGCGCATGAAGTATGGACGCCAGAGGATAAAAAAGGGGTCACGTTCACAGATAGCAGATAGCAGAAACCACGACGCGCATGCAACGCGCGTGGCCGAGGTCTCCTCGTCCCAAAATTGGTCTGTCGGGGTGGTCGCTCTGTTCACTCCCAAACGTAGCAAAAAGGCTAATCACGGCTCAACTCCTTGCGCTGCGAACGAACACAAACGACACGACGGTTTGATGCTTCATTGCCACGGCAACTCGCCGTTCCAACCGGTTGAATTTATGTGTAGTCGTAGCGGTCGCTCTGAACGAAAGTCTGTAAACGGGCCTTTAGAAGTAAAAAAAAAAAAATCGGTCTTTGATTCTTAATGCAGTCCAGTAACTTACCGTGCTTGGATAAAGGAAAAAATACACGAAAGATTCCAGTCTCTCGGCGGCCTCTCCCAGTCAATGACTTGATTATACTTGTCCAGAAGCATCTTGTTGGCTTCTTTCGATAGGTTCACCCATGTTGAGCTGATCCTCCACCCACGCCTTTTCGGGCCCCTCTAGCCCGTCAACCGTTGCTCTAGGGCCCGCCGCTGCTCGGTCCTGGAGAAAGAACAGTTTCCAAGTCTTGATCGCCATGTCTTCTTCACTTAGGTTTACCTCGGGGCCTAATTTCTTTGCCATATTTCTTGCCGTTTGTTTCCTTCCGTCTGGGCTCCTGTGTATAAGCCAGGCCTTCCCGAGCCAGGTGCGCACGTTGAAGGAGTAGAAATTATTTTCCATCTAGTACGCGGTCCAGAGCACCGCAGAAACAAGAAATACCGCAAAATCAGGAAAAAATAATTCGGGCGTACTGTACGCCCGAATTATGTTTCCTGATTTTGCGGTATTTTTTGTTTCTGCGGTGCCTCTGGAGTGCATGTAACCTGCAGTCACAAAAAGTGATTAGGTGACCGGTTTTCAAATATGGGGAATTTAGGTTGTGGAGAAAAGGGTCCGCCACCGTACCCAGGGGCCGCTACAGATCGCCCAAAGCCGACACCAAGTTGGAAGCGCGCAACAGCGCATAAAGATAGGCGCCAAAGGATATAAAAAGGGACACGCCCACGGAAAGGGAAGGTCGGACCGAAATCACAGATACGTGTAGGTAAACGCAATGACGGCGTTGTATATTGCTATTAACGAACAATTTCTGGTATACTAATAAATGTAGGCTCTTGTTTTGGAAACCCCCGGCTAAATGTTGTTCCTCTGGAATGTTCATTCAGCAAATGCGGCAACAGGCAGGTCCGCCCCACTGAACCGTGGCCATTGGGCAAGGCGTGCCAGGGTCAGCGAAAATGGCCTCTGCCGGCGATGCCAGGAAAGGCTGCAAAGGACGGCCGCGACCTGGACAGTCCTCACTGCGTACGCCTCCCAAGGTTGGGCATCGGACTTGAGCTGGAGCGACCATCCCAGGACAGAACGCGCCGGCAGCCTCTGCTGCTGAACCTGAAGCGTTCTGGATACGAACGTTGGAGGAACGCCACTCCAGAGAGCCGGCCGCACACTACAATTTGGAGGAGACGCGCCTCTTTTCCACGCTCCGTGCGGTCTTTGAGACATGCCGGGCGGCCCACCTCCGAGGTACCCTGCACGGAGAGCGGGCAGACGCGGACCGCATCGCCCGCATAAATCATCTTGGGGACCGTGACCTGGAGCGGGCCATACCACTCATGCAGCACCGCCGTCCACACCTCCTGCGACGACAACCCCCTCTCATCAACGACGACGACGATACAATCATTGACATGCCGGACGCTTGTGGGGAGGGGGAGAGGGTGGAGCGGGAGGGGGGGGGGACAAGAATCTGCCACCGTGCTTAGGGACCGTTCCCGACAACCCCAAAGTCGACACTAAGTCCGAAGCGTGTAAGAGCGCATGGAGGATGGACGCCAGAGGATAAAAAAGGGGACACGCCCACCGGACGGGTAGGTCGGACCGAGAGCACGGATACGTGTAGGTTGACGCCATAGCTACGTTGGATATTACTATTAACAAAACATTTCTGTTAAACTAATGAATTTTGTTTCTTGTTTTGGAAACCCCCGCCTTTGTGTTGTTCCTCAGGGGTGGGCATGTAGCAGGGCAACCTTTCCACAGGGCCTAACCGATACCTGCGACCTGGCGTTTTAGAGCACTTAACGTATTCCCGTCTGAATATCTCGACTACCTCGTGTTTGAAGTATACTCTTTTGAAGCGGTCCCGTTTTATTAACGGATGTATTCTTCTTGTTGTCCATCGCTCGTCTGTATAGAAGCTTTATCTCTAGGGGGACGTGATTGCTGCCGGGGTTATTTCTACGTGGTGTCCTTTCAGGGTCGAGGCCTCTCGTTGGCTGCGGTAAATCTCTTTGGACTCGTCAGCTTAGCTAGCCTAGCTGTTATGCCGGGTATATTAAGTTACTCGAGGCCCGCTTTCGCCATGCTTTTAATAATTTACCTACCTATCTTCGTATGCATCTATAGGGTGGTTCAAGTCACCAGTCTCGATCTAGAATGGACCGTAATAATCGACGCCTCCACGTAGCAATCTAAACATTTCGTCAAAGTTGTATTTCACAGGTCGTTTTTTTTTGTTTGTTTTTTTTTGTAAAATTACAAAGCGTAGCTTTCTCTCGGTAAAAAATAAGGCCAAGAAACTTGCCAGGGTCTACGGCGGGCAGCGACGCAGACGACAGGAATCCAGCAGCGGGTGTGTTTGGCGTACATACTGATGGATGGCGCTACCTCCTTATCGCGACGGCTCGCGACCAACGTGGTTTATTAAAATGAACATAATCCTTTTGAAATGTACCTTAGGTTAAAAAATAAATCCGGACAATAAAAGCAAAAGTTAAAGTAAAAAAACGCGTCTGCATAACAGCGGCGCTTTGGCTGCCAACGGATTTCGTCTGCGTGTCGTCTGCTTTCTTTCGCTGGCCGGCTGCACCTTCAGACACCGCTTCCGATGCTATCTATCAATACGAACGCCAAACACTCCCCGCTACTGGATTCCTGTCGTCTGCGTCGCTGCCCGTCGTAGACCCTGGCAGTTTCTTGGCCTTATTTTTTACAGAAAGAGAGCTACGCTTTGTAATTTTAGAAGAAAAAACCGACCTGTGAAATACACCTTTGACGAAAGGTTTAGACTGCTACGTGCAGGCGTAGATTCTTACGGACCATTTTAGATCGAGCCTGGTGACTTGAACCACCCTATATATCAAAAGCCTCGGTGTAGAATTTTCGGGGCCGCCAATGATGGTGGGATTCTCTTCGTCCATGGTGACCAGAAAGTTCATACACTGCACCGTCTTTCCGTCCACAACGTTGGTTTCAGGTCTGCGATAGACGTAGGCCATGGTAACTGTTGTGTGTTGGCAACCGAGGATATCCAGGGATGCCGGTGAACTGGTGCACGCGCGCAGGCACGAGACGTTCGACTGCTCTGGCCCCAACCCGGTCGGTTGTGCCCGCTGTATGCTGTGATGTATATATTATGTAAAGATTAAATACACAACATTGGCGACGAAGTGGAGTCAACCTGCGGCGGAAGACCTTCTAGAGCGCCGTTCACGGCGCCATGGCAGAAGCAAAGGCATCAGCGGCGCCGGCATTCGGCGGCATCGAAGAGTTCGCACCGAGCACCGGTGCAACATGGCCACTGTACCACGAAAGACTTGAGTTCTACCTTATCGCAAATGAGATCAAGTCAGCCGAGAAGAAGCGTGCAATCCTGTGCACGGTCTGCGGGGCGGCAACGTACGCCATCGTTCGTTCACTCTGCTCACCGGCTCTACCTTCCGAGACGAGCTACGACGACATCGTCTCGCGACTGGCGGCCCACTTCAACCCGAAGCCGTCCGCCATTGTTCAGCGTTTCCAGTTCGGGAAGCGCGACCAGCGTCATGGAGAAAGTATCGCCGACTACATCGCCGAGCTTCGTCGGCTGTCGGAGCACTGCGCTTTCGGGCCAACGTTGGACGACATGCTCCGAGACAGGTTAGTCTGCGGCCTCCGGGAAGAGTCCCTTCAGCGACGGCTTCTCTCCGAGCCGGAACTAACCTTCGCGGTGGCCAAAGAGAAGGCGATAGCAGCAGAGTACGCCCACCACCAGACAGAAAAGATCAGGGGGGCGTCCGCAGAGAGCAGCGATGTGTGTCGTGTTGGTAAGCAAATGGCTCCGAGAGCTAAGCCGCGTCGAGGCAGCAAGAGAAAGGACTGCGTCGAAGTCACAGCAAGACGCTGGCAAGTGTTTTCGCTGTGGAGGGTCACACGCACCAGACGAGTGTCGTTTTCGACACGCACAGTGCCACTTTTGCAAGCAGCGGGGTCATATCGTGAAAGTTTGTCGACGAAAAGCGAAACAGTCCTCACCGACGCCTAGGCCTACAGGTGGCAGCCGCCAGAACGGCCGGCGGCGCGACAGTGAAACAGCGGATGTTTTCGGCATCTTCCAAATGACTGCCGAGGAACCTGCTATCCGCGTGGTCGTAGAAGTGAACGGGAACCCTCTCGAGATGGAAGTCGACTCAGGAGCGGTGTGCTCCGTGATCAACGAGAGAACTATGCGTCAGCTGCGGTTGTCCAAGCACAAGCTGCAACCGTGTGAACTACGTCTTCGCACGTACAACCAGCAGGAATTGAAGGTGCTAGGCTCCGTGATGGTCCAAGTCACCTATAAAGGGCGTCAAAAACGACTGCGTCTCGTCGTGATCAAGGGAGCAGGCGTAGGCTTGCTTGGCCGAGACTGGTTCAAGGCTCTTGGGATTGAGCTGAGAGTCAATCAGCTGGAAGAAGCAACGAACAATCAGAGCCCGTCCAGCGCAGCAGTGCTGAGTCGTCACGCCGACGTTTTCCAACCAGGTCTAGGCAAGAGCAAGGGACCACCAGTTCGAGTCGAAGTGGAACCGACTGCCCAGCCCAAGTTTTTCAAACCGCGTCCAGTTCCCTTTGCCTTACTACCAAAAGTGGATGAAGCCTTGGACAAGCTCATCAGGCAAGGCATTTTGGAACCGGTCCGACATTCCAGTTGGGCGACTCCAATAGTACCTGTGGTAAAAAAGGATGGCACAGTGCGAATCTGTGGCGACTACAAGAGTACGGTAAACCCTGTGGTCCGTTGGGAAAGCTACCCCCTACCCACACCTGAGGAACTTTTTGCGAAGCTGGCAGGCTGTGCAAGGTTTTCCAAGCTTGATTTAGACCAAGCGTACCTGCAGCTGACAGTTGACAGTGAGACAGCTGACCTTCTCACCATCACCACACACCGTGGACTTTTCCGTGTCACGCGCCTACAGTTCGGAGTAGCTGTTGCAGTCGCTATTTTTCAGAGGTACATGGAAGAGCTGCTGCAAGGGCTGGAAGGGGTGCAAGTTTTTCTCGATGACATCCTGGTAGGCGGTAAAGATGAAGCCGAGCACAACACCCGTCTGCAAGCTGTGCTTCAAAGAATTCAAGACGACGGTGTCCGGCTAAAAAGGGACAAGTGCGTTTTTGGAGTGGATGAAGTTGTATTCCTAGGATACAAGGTCAGCAAGGCAGGAATACAGCCGACAGACGACAAGGTCAAAGCTATCCATGGGGCACAAGAGCCAAAATGCAAGAAGGAGTTGCAAGCGTTCCTAGGGGCACTCAACTTCTACAACAGGTTTCTACGGGGAGCGGCACACACTTTGGAGCCCTTGTACAGGCTGCTCGACAACGGCCATAAGTGGAGATGGACTACGCAGGAAGCAGAGGCTTTTCTGCGGGCCAAGCAGCTACTGCAGTCTTCGGACGTCCTTGCCCATTACAGTGTCCACCAGCCACTAGTCATGGCATGTGATGCCTCTCCGTACGGACTTGGGGTGGTACTCAGCCACGTTGATAGCGAACGCCGGGAGGTACCGGTAGCCTATGGCTCTCGAACTATGACGGCTGCCGAAAGGAACTACGCACAGACAGACCGGGAAGCTCTGGCGATAGGCTTTGGAATACGAAAGTTCCACAAGTTCATCTACGGTCGGCATTTTCGGATCGTGACCGATCACAAACCTCTACTGGGACTCTTGCATCACGCAAAACCGATGCCTCAAGTGCTGTCGCCGAGGATGTTGCGATGGTCGTTAATGTTGTCGGCTTACGACTACGAGCTGGAGTACAGGCCTGCTCATCAGCTCAGGAACGCGGATGCACTGAGTCGACTGCCTCTAACTGTGGAAGACAGCTCAACTGACGAGAAACTTTTTGAAGTCCGGATGCTGGAGACTGCGCCGGAGATTCCGTGGGATGCCCAGAAGATTGCCCGATGCACCCGGAACGACCCAACCTTGTCCAGAGTTCGACATTGGACGGGGGTTGGATGGCCTCAAGGCAGGCTGCCGGACGAGTTCAAGCCATTTGTTCGACGGCAGCACGAGTTGTTGGAGTATCGGGGATGCCTGCTGTGGGGATGTAGAGTCATCATTCCAGAGCAAGCGAGAGACCAGGTTTTGGAGCTGCTCCATACCACGCATCCCGGGATCGTCCGCATGAAGGCGCTTGCCAGAAGCACAGTTTGGTGGCCGGGTATCAACCAAGATATCGAAAGGAAGGTCCGAACCTGCCTGCCCTGCCAGGAGACAAGGCCGCAACCTGCACGTGCAAGACTGCATCCGTGGGAATTTGCCAGAAACCCATGGTCCCGAATCCACATCGATTTTGCAGGACCCTTCCAAGGAAAGGTTTTTCTTCTGGTGGTGGATGCGCATTCGAAATGGCTGGAAGTCATCCAGATAGCATCCATGTCGTCAGCAGCAGTGTGTCAAAGGCTGCGAGTGCTGTTCGCAACACACGGTGTTCCCGACACTATAGTCTCGGACAATGGGACCGCGTTCGTCTCACAAGAATTTGAAGAATTTTTGCAGAGAAACCAGATCCGGCACGTTAAGGTGGCGCCATATCATCCATCGTCAAATGGCCAAGTGGAGCGCATGGTCCAAGAAACTAAACAAGTCCTCAGGCGCATGGAAGGAGGCGACATGGCCACCAAGTTGGCCCGATTTCTTTTGAGTCAGCATATTCTCCCGCACTCAACGACCGGAAAGAGTCCGGCAGAATTGTTGATGGGTCGGAGACTCCGTACTGCACTGGACCGGCTTCACCCAGACCTACAAGCAGAGATGGTGGACAAGCAAGAGGAACAAGCGCTGCGGGGAAGACAAGGTGTACGCGAATTCGAGCCGCGAGAACCAGTCTTCATCCGCAATTATTTAGCAGGCCCCAAGTGGCTACCCGGTATCATCACTGAGATCACCGGTCCGGTGTCTTACAAGGTTCGCACCATCGACGGTCGTTTCTGGAAGCGGCACGTGGACCAAATCCGGAGACGGGAGTGGAGCACATACCTGGACGAGGAGGAGCCTACGACAGAGCTGTCACCTCAGCCGCTCTCCTTACCAAGCGAGCCATCGCTTAGGAATGAATCGGTGGAAGAGTGCCCACCATCTACGAGTCAAGTGGACTTCCCTGAGGAGTCAACCCCAGTGGCAACACCTCCAGCTTCCCCACAACGTTCACCTGCTTCACCCCATGAACCGAGGCACCAAACAGTGTTGCCAACTTCAGCGCCTGCGCAAGAACAGTCAATTCGTCCCCAGCGACAACGGCGACGTCCCGACTACCTAAAGGACTATGTGACCTAGGGGGGAGGGATGTTGTGTGTTGGCAACCGAGGATATCCAGGGATGCCGGTGAACTGGTGCACGCGCGCAGGCACGAGACGTTCGACTGCTCTGGCCCCAACCCGGTCGGTTGTGCCCGCTGTATGCTGGTATGTATATATTATGTAAAGATTAAATACACAACAGTAACCTTATTTTGAATCGAGTTGGGCTTTCGGTGTATGTCGCAAAATGGCGACTGCTGGAAAGCACTTCTTGGTTACGGAATGCTTCTCCCAATACCAAAAGGACATCTACATCTTTTTTTTTTTTTTGTGACATGTGTACATTTTGCATAGGCAATTTCACCAGCGTTTCGTTAAACATTCTGCAAATGTTTCACGGAACGCAGGGAAAATTATTGTTTATATGTCGTGCGACGTATAAACCGAAAACTATAGTAGTCTGGACAAAGTACCCCATAACACGCAGGAAGGGTAACTCCACCGGGGCTCACATTGGCACGAACACGTGAAGGTTCTGAGAAAAAAAAAAGTATTTATGGAAATAGCAAAACTTCACTCCAGCGTGCATTGTGAGTCCTACGCAGAACAAAACATCTATTAATCACATTCACATGTCATGTAATACTCATGTAGTGCCCCCGGGTCCTTAAGAGATAATAAATGAATGCTGGAGGAATTACCTGGGATACCAGATGTGTTAGATTCAAACGGATATAATAACTCGAGTGATAATTTATCAAGGCGCGTGATAGACTCGGTTTTGGGTCTCGAATGTATCCCCGACGCCGCATTTGAACACCCGCTTGTGACATTCTTATTCGCCGGTGAACGACCCTTCATTCGCTTTGCCGCGCCCCAACCTGGAGCAGTCACTTTGCGTGCTCGGCGTTTGTCTAGCTGCAAGGCTTTTCCAACTGTCCAACGTGCCGCTGACGAGTCAGTAGCGTGAAACCAATTAATAAAGACGTTAAACCAGGTTAAATGTCTGGTAAGTGGAATGATCACTTACCCAACCGCCGTAACACATGGCGCTAGTTCAACGAACCATGTCATTCGTGACAGCTAGCAGCATTTGGAAACAAGTCTGCTGTGTTATTCATTGTTATAAGATAAATTAATGCAGTAGGGAACTGTCACGAGCCATTTAACACCGGGACTAACTAGGTTATGTCGGAACTTTTTAAAAATCTAAATAATGGGCGTCAACTCTTGAGGCCATTAACCCCAGGGCCCGAAACATATATAAACGTGCGCATAAAACATGTTATATCCGTACATCGACACCGAACAAACATTCAAAGAAGCATCCGCCATCAGTCCAAAGTAAGCGTCGTGCATTACACTACTTAATGAAGAAATATTACCCTTTTTTGTGTATGAGGCAGAATGCTCTTATATTTAGTTATAGCTGTGTATAGACCGCTCAAATATTTTCTCATATCTCAATTTCGAGTCTTCAAAAATTATACCAATAAGAATTGTACGACCACTGTTATTTTACTGAGGCATCTGTTCCTTGAAAAGTATACATTGGACACCCTATTTTGAGGTTGTTTTTAGCGCATGCTCAGGAGTAGCTCATATTTCTCCTCTGCGAAGAACAACGGTCCTGATTAGGTAAACTACACGTTGAAGCTGTACGTGAGTTCAACCACTGCATCAAGATGTTTGTACTGGACAGACGATAAATTCGGACTAGTTCTGAGTACGCTTTGGCAACAACTGCCTCCAGTGAACACACCCGATTGACTTGTATTTTTCCGCCTCGCTGTCGACATATAAATTCACCACGTTGTGTTTCTCACTTTTTGATGTGTGATAAAAGGTAAAGAAATGTGCAAGTAAAAATAACGTTCAATAGGCGAACCTGTGCTGATAACTAATGTAAAAAGGGTAGCGTACATTCCACGACGACGGACGGGGTGCGACTACTCCAAAACAGCGCCCTAGAAACTTCTGCTTTTATAAACGCGCTATGTTCTGTGTGATTCTAATCCGGAACACACACTAATTGTGGGGAATAAACTGGAACTTTCTATTGAGGCAATGTTTTGAAGCCTACCACCTGCCTTTCAGCTTAGCGGTAAGCCAGAAAACAAAAAGGCAACCTATATTCAATGTTTTATTGGGTATGTAGGTCGCTCGAATTCGGCACTACAGTAGCCGGCCCTGTCTGACCTTCAGAACATGCTCAGTTGCGTCCTTTCCGCTCAGGTGACCCGCCATCTGGAAGAATGATGTTCGTAGCCGCCTTCGTGTCCCTCTACGCTGCAATGATGCTAGGTATGTCATCAGTATATTTTCAAATAAAATTGCAATTAAGAAAGAATAAGACACTTAAGAACGAAGTAAAGACATGGCAGCAGGTCGTCAAAATTATGATTTGTTTGTTTTAATAAGGTAAATCTAGTTTATTGTATTTAAACCACATTTATCTCATCCAAAAAAATTCTATAATTGAATCCTATTATTTTCTTGAAAACAGTATTCTGTAAATAGTGATCATTTATCACAAGAGTTTTTTTTTAAATATGGCAGAGTAATTGACAATCCGTCCGATCACTGATGATATTGCAAAAAAAATAGTTTAATTAACATTATTTTAGTGATAATGACAACACAAACATATTGAATTATTTTAGTTGCTAAAACCACTCTATTGGTTTTCTCTTTCGCGTTCGAATTTACTTGCAATAGAACAGTACATTGCAGTTTTTAGTTTTTTTTACATTTTATGTTCTCATTTTCAGTAAGTTGGTTAGGAAGGAAATCGACGGTAGAAAAAAGCTCAATGCTGGGAAGGGCACTGCTTTTGGCCGTATTCAGCCTGATATAAACATTTCTTCCTCGATGATCATTTATCTAAATGCAAACAAAAACACATGGAGCAAAAGCAAAAATTCATAAATAAATGGTAAATACAAATATTTTAGGAATTGTTTTCGTGGGAAACGTTTGATTTAAATCATCGTAGCGGGTTTGATTTCAATCATGATTTAAATCGACTTAATTTAAATCCTCCTTGCTTTGCGACGCGTATCCCTGTTGAAAACAACCCTTCAACCATGATGTGTTCCTGGACCCTTTTAGCCCTCTAAACTCCAACGTCCCATCGAACCTCTAAGCCCTTCAGTTCTTCAGACCCTTTAGCCCTTCATCTTTTCAGACTTTCACAGCCCTCCAACCTTTTAGACGCCCAAATAACTCTGAACCGCGAAGCAAAGCTGCAGTTTAAATCGTCATTGAAAGTTTATTTCAGACTTGAAGTTTAACATACTTTTCGTGGATCAGATGAACAATACCAACCTATGTACTCAAACCCGGGCGCAAGCAATCGCGATTCGTAGCAATACGACCAAACATCAACAACCTCATTCATTTTTCGCAAAAACAACATTTCGAGGTGCTCACACTGCCGCTGGGTGATGTATGGTCGTTAAACGATTAAAATCAAGCAGATGCACCACACACATACACACAGTTAGTAGCACGTTTAGCGTAAACCATGAACGCGAAACAAACATCCGCCTGCGTTAACGCAGTCTCCAGAACGTTCACGGTGCAACCGCAACTGCCGTCGCGGTTGCATTTCTGCAACCGAGCGAACTCAGAGGCGCGAAAAAACAGGAGCACTGAGAGACCTCTCCAATCCGCACACTGAGCGTCTCTAGAAGATAGATCCTACACATGGGACGGAAAGCCCACACTGAGCGTTCGTTCGTGGCGGTCGACAAATATAAATTGACCCAGCGGCTTCCCCGACGCATATTCATCAACTCACGTTTACGAACAAAACGGAGCAACCCTAGCGGCACGCCACCGGCACCGCGCATACGCGATATGGTGAGGGTAAGAAACGTCGCATCGCGCATCAACAAAATATTGAAATGGGATGTTGTACGCGTTGGTGTGAGTCCCCGCGTGGTCTTTTTCGCGCTAGAATTGTTCATTCTATGTTTTCCTAGCATTGTCATACTACTTTAGTGGCTTGAGCGAAATCAACGAGGCTAGTTACACCGCAAGACTTTATGTAAATAATATGATATGGGCGATTCATTCTCCGTGAACGCCGCAGAATGGACGCTAAAGACTGATTCACAGGATAAGGATCTACTCGGCATTTTCAGTCGTGACGACGCTCGGGCTGCAAAAACGTGGATAGTAGCTTCGATGCTCGACGTCAATACTGAAAACCGCAAGCAGGATCGGACCAAGTGAATGAGGCATAACAAGTTCATGATAGCCACTGGTAAAAATGATAAACATCTCCCTATATTTATTGTTTACATCCAGCCTGCTTACTCCAAACAATCTTCAAACTTGAAAGTCGCTTGAGGCCCGAACTTACTTACAGGAATTATCGGGTCGACGTATGGTCTAAGGGTCAAAGTTCTCCCCGCACAAGCAACCGCAATTCGACTGTGTCTAGTTTTTTCCCTTTCACGGCACCTATCCACGTTCTCGGACCAACCGATCAGGCAGAAAGCACATAAAAACTTATTTTCACACCTTCCCGGCTCTTTTGGTGCAACCCCAGTCGCGGCGTTTTGACCGTAAAACAGGTTTAATCTTGTTTCTTCCAAAACTACACAGGAATGCACATCCCGCAGAAACTTCCGCCCACACTCCCAGACCGGAAGTGCGCCAAAAACGCCACCACCGGGGCATGACGTGACAGGTTTGAGTTGTATATTCTGAAGGGTCACATTGTCTCTGCATCACACCGGTTATTTCTATTTTGGCGGGTCATTTGCTTACCCGGACAAGATTGCGACAGGCCCCACAGGCCCTTCAAAAAACTATGACGCGCCTAGCTCTTACACCCTTGAGAAATTATTGACATGCACGTCAGGCACCTTCGTAAATTTCGACTGAAAAATATTTAGATGGTACGAGAAAACTTTTCACAAATCCTGGTGGGCCACAAACACGAAGTTTTAATAGGGATGGAACGGGTTCCTCAGCCAGCTTAATCTATTCCGAAATTTTCACCTTTACTTATGCCCTTTTGCGAAC